GGCCAAAGAAAGGAATATCTATGTATGCCTATATTTATTTATTTATTCATTCATTCATTTTTATTCATTTATATATTTTTACATCATTGTTCATTTTTGCACAATGTTTGATTTCTCCTCTCAGGTGTTGTCCCCATAAAATTACCACCACTAGGACACTGATGAACTGTTACCATAGACTGAAAGGACTAGATAGCTTTAGAATAGTTTCAGCTTTGGGAGAACTTCAAGCAGTTTGGAGTCACTCCTGGTTGTGGTGAGCTCTACAGGAGTGGGTATAATTACTTGCTGTGATCTGACCTGTGAGAGTGACTCATTCTAGGTGGGGGGCTCTCAGAGTACACTGCTTTTCTCTGACAAAGTCCAAGACCCCCCTGAGAGGGACTGGCCAAGGTGAGGGGCTATGTGTCCTGACTTCTCTGCCTGTAGCAGCTTCTGCAGGAGGTGACTGGTTGGTGGTGTGTTTTAGAAATGGCCTGACAAAACTTTGCATTCTGTCACATTTGTAAGGTTTTATCTTGATAAATAACTTTCCAGATTTGATTTTCTGGTTCATGGGCGGTCTTTTGGAAATAAGAGTCCTCATGTTATAGGGCAGGGAGAGGGGCAGCCCAAACCCCGCAAACCTGCCTATTCTAAGTGGGTTCTGCCATCCGCCGCATCAACACAAAACATAGGAGACTTTAATGGGAAGGAACTTTAATAAAACTAGGAAACAATACAGGTAAGGCAAAGAGTCTAGTTTCTAAATGAAGCACCCAAAGTTACCTGTCCCCTCGTGGGTAAAAGTCCATCCATATGGGATCGGCCCAGAGCAAGGCCCCAAAGCCTGCTACAAGTCTAAAGCATCTTCCAGTGGGGACCCACAGAAAAGGGTCACAAACAACCAGACAAGCCCGGAAGGGAAAGAGCAAAATCAACATCAAGATAAAAGCTGCCATTGTCACCTCCCCACAGGTCTCACCCACATCTGTGTCACCCAGTCCACGACCAAAAGACAAGCGCAGCTTCTTCACGTGTCTCTACGCTCCATGCGCCTCCTCCAGGTCTCCTGGCTCCATCCTGCTTCCTTCCTCAGTCTCTTCTTCAGCTTCTCCCCTTCCTGCTCAGCTCCACCCTCCCTTGGGTGGGGCAGGGAACCTCCCCCTTTCCTGGGGACCACCCTGTTGCACTCAGTCTCCCAGAGCCATAGGTTACTGCTTTCTTATTCCCCAGCGATTCTCAGACACAGGAGTGTCCAGCAGTTTGTTAAAGGGATGTGCAGGGCAACAGAGGTGCCTGCTTTGGCCACGGGCGGGCGGGAGTGGTTGGAGCAGTTCTTAGGCTCCAATGGCAAGTGAGTCAGTCTTTTCCCCTCCCCGAACAGGTTCGTGGGCTTTCCCCAGACTACTGATGGCCAAGAAGATCCCAGAAACACTTTACAAAGGACAAACTGAAGCCGGAGAGACTAAGGGGGCCATAACAGACAAGGCCCAGCCCCCATTCCTAGGTCCCCTCAGGGGCTGTTTGACATTATTCTTCTCTCTGGTGTAGTCTCTATGTCCGTCCCTCAATAGCGGTGTGACCCTGGGTGATCACAGTCTCTTTCACCCAAGTCTCTGCTGTCTGACGGGAGAATACTATAGGTAGAGAGATTTCTTCCGTGGTGATACGAGTAGCTGACTAAGTTATCACCAGGGTTCGCCCAGTCCAGAGGAAGAAACAACTGCAGGCAGAGGTGCCGGTGGAATCTTCCTGGATTTGTTGAGGGGCGGGGAAGCTAAGCAAGCTGGAGGCGGGGTTGCTGCAGCTGCCACTTGACCCTCCAGCTGGCCCAGGGGCAGGACTGACTGCGCGGATGCTAGGCTGTGACCCCTGGGTCGGGGCTCGGCACGCTGACTTTGATCCAAAATTCACCTGGCTTTCATTATCTCCCGGAACTGGCCGCGTGCGTAGCCTCCCGGGAGCGGCCTCTTCCTCTGCCCCAGCACTAACGCTCCGGCACCAGAGACGCTGCACAAGGATGGCGCAGCGCGGGTAGCGGGTCCCAGCACCAGTGAGTGGTCTGCAGTCGGAGTTCTGCTTCGGGAACCATTTCCCTGCCGGTAACAAGACCTTGGATAGGGCAGAGAAGATGGAAAGGATGTTGTGCGCAGCCAGACGCATAGAGGGAGCGCGGGCGGGGTGCATGCGGAGGATGTACTAGGAAGAGGGTGCGCCGAGTCGGTGCTCAGGAGAGTGAATTCTCCGAGAGTGCTCGGGGATCCGGGCCAGGAGGGTGCTGGAGGAGCAGGGCTCGAGCGCGCAGGGGGAGCTGAGTAGTTGGGAGATGTGGGCGGAGAGGAGGGTTCGCTGGGAGCCCCGCGGGAAGGACGCGCGGGGAAGGCTGCGGGGGGCTGCGCTTCCCCGGGTCTGCCGGTGCAGCCCCTTCCTCGTCCCGGGCCTGTCTTAGGTCCCTGATCCTCTCCCGCGTCCTCGGTCACTGGCGGTACACTGCCCAGTGTGCAGGGCTCCGGATCCACTCGGTGGAGGCGACCGAAGGCGGATTTGGAGTCCGGCAGGTCTAGCTCCTGCTGAGCGCTGGCGCGCCCTTCCGCGCGCCGCCCTGGCGGGAAGGTGGTGGGAACTGGGTCCAGTGCCCCTTGTAATGGGAGGAGGAAATAAAGTTACGTTTTGGATGTAACTGTTACTCAGACTGTTGGGGGGAAAGGATGTCCTAAGCTAAAACGGGGTTGCCCTGTAACAAGGCCTCCACAGGTCAAATGGAGTCAAGCGCACATTGAACAAATGTTGAACAAAATGCTACATCGTAACATAATGGCATCGGGTTACTGACATCCTCAAAAGAGGAGCTTTACGGTTGTAAATTATATGACACTGATATGATTTACGCGGGGCGTGGTGCCTTTTACAATTCTGGCTTAAGGTAAGCTTTTTTTTTTTTTTTTTTTTTTTTTTTTTTTTTTTTTTTTTTAACCTGGAAAGCCGCAGAGGGAACCTCGTTCAGCTCCACCTACCTTCTCGGGTTGCCTCTCTCAGGTCAGGGCTGGGCCAGGTGACTCAAGATAACCAGGGTGTGTGGGGGGGGGTGTCTCAGTTTATTGTGCCGGACTTCCTGCCTCGCCTGGCTCATTTCTGGCTCTTCCCTGTGACATGAAGTTACTGGAAAACACTCTGAAATCTGAGACTGTCTTCAGGGGTCCCATGATCTTCCCGTCTGCACTCCGCTCTTGTCCCCTTTTCTCTTCCTCTTTCCTCTACCTTGCAGCTTAAATGTGGTGACTGGCTCACTCTCCACCCTCCCCGCCTCCTCCCACCCTATTCTGTCCCCTTCTGGGCTAAAAAAAGACCTAAAAAAAAAAAAAAAAAAACCTGCTGTGACCTTGGTTTTCCCTGAATAGAAAGAATGTCTTAATCCCGGTTTTCCTGTCCAGCTGAGATCTCCCATTGTCTGCCCCTTGTCACTGGGTGGGGGAGCCTTCAGTATTAAATCCCTACCCCCACTTTCAATTCAGCCAACTTTACATTATCTCCCCACACCCCCTTAGAGATCAAATTGACCTTCTAGTTTTCTCTGTGCAAGCCTCATCATTGCAGACTTGCTGAACTCAGCACGGGTTCATTGAGTACAAATTAAATTCTTCTAGGGCTTTAAGTACTGATGGGAAGTGAAATGGCTTTTGGTTAATTAGCTGTTCTTATTTTGACTTTTGTCCAAGTGGAATTTTTGTTATCTTTACTGATCATAAAATCAATAAAAGCTCATTGTGAAAAAAAACTAACAAAATGTGTAACAAAAAGTGAAACTTTCATTTTTCCCTATGCCCTAACTATATAAAGGAAGGCAAAACTTTCAGGTTTTTCTCCTCCTTCTGTTATGCCCAAGATCAGCAGACTCGGTGAGCATAGACTCCAAGAATCCAAAGATAGCTGATGCAAACACAAAAGTGAGTTTATTACAGACTTGAGTCCAGGCTCACGGCACCTACCAATGCAGTGGCAGATATCAAGAGTCCCGAACAGAGGAAGCAGGGGTCTTAAATGGGGTCACAAGCAGGCACGAATTTTGAAACAAGATGGTAATTACTCATTGGCTACTACAAAGGCATTTTGGAGCACATGGTTACAGTTTCAAACTGATTGGACGTTTAGAGATGCTGTCCCATTTATGGATAGGACTGCCCTCGGTGGCGGCTGGGGTGGTCTGCTTTTTCGTCACCAAGTGGAGTGAGGGTTGTGACTGTTGAAACTATCTCCGGAATGCGGCTGTACAAGGACTAACATATCAAGGTGGAGGATATACAAAATGGCGAAACCTCAGCTAAGCTTGGTTCCACACTTCTTTCTCTGGGTAGACAATGACAAGTGAACTGAATTTGTGGCTAAGTCTGACAAGTTCTCTTTTCTCAGCCATATGAGAAACAGAAGATGGAAGCTGCACTGGACACTGGGTTTCCAGCTGTGCCCATGTTTGCAGAGGCTGGAAGTCCATTTTACAGCATCAAGCATGTATCCTCAGGGAATCTACTATACATCTTATATGTTGGAGGAAATATGTCCAGAATATACACTAGCTTCAATTCAGTAAAACAATTTTAATGCAGTTGTCAAAAATATTCCCCAATTCTACAAATGCCCTTCTATGAATGAATTCTAATTAAACTGCGCAAGAGCAGTGCTTGAAAGTCCCCATGGCCATGTCCTCAGTGTACAGAAGCCAGACCCTTTTTTGCAGCCAGGCTCTAAGTCTAGACAGGGGGGCTTTTGTGTGGGTCTTACATTGTGGCTTGGACTAGGCAGTAGAAACCTGGGTTCTGGAATTCCTCCTCTCCCTTTCCACACTAAACCTTAGTTGCCAAACTTTGGCTTCTGTATTGAAGGGACTGCAACACACTTACTAAACACATTTCCTGATTCTTCTAAAGGTTGGAAAAATCCAGCATAATCCTGTTCCTGAATTATTCATTCTGATTCATCAGCTCAGTCTCCTTTCACAGAGTGAATACGTGCTTCCCACCACTGCCAGCTTGGTTTGGTCTCTGGAAGTGGGCCAGGTCTAAGTGAGTAACTGTCCTGCTCACAAGGGTGTATTGGATATTGGTTCCCATCTCTGTTTAAGCTGGTTTAAGGGGAAATGCATTGAGAGTTAAGAGACTTTCTTTACTCTTTAAACTTTCACTGGGTGGGAGGAGTGACCATATAATTTATCTTCCACTCCAGATTCTTTTGAAAGTGAAATGAGAATCTGATAATTATGCAAAGAATCCAGGCAAACCTGCATTCATGGTCACCCCATTTAAAAGCACCCTAGGTTATTTAGCTGATAGCTTTCCAAAAGTCTACCTGTTATTCTGCATGAAGTTTGTTATAGAAAGCCTTACTGAGTGCAGGGCGGGGGTGTGCAGAAGGGTCAGTCTTGGGTAGATTCACAGCCTGGAGGGCAAGCATATAGGCCCTGGGAGTGTGTAGCTAAGCAGGGAGGATTCAGGAAGGAGCCTGATGTCTAGCGAAGCTGGGGGGGAGGGAGGAAGCAAGGACTGGACAGGGCAATGGTGTTTTGGGCTCAGAAGCAAGAAAAGCACCAGACCTATAGAGAAATGCCGTTCCTGCAATGTCATACAAGTTGATTATCTGTTGCTTGGTATCCTTTTCTGGAAAATAGGGTTTGGAGTCTTTCAGGGGAATCTTTCAGGGAGTATTCTGGTTCAACTGCTGCCCTAGAGGAAGGTGTCTCAAAGTCTTCCTCTTTTGAGCTCCTGTCCACCAGCTCCCCAGCCCCAAAGGAGAAAAAAAAGTAGCCTAGAGGGTTCAGATACTTGGGCAAGGTTGCCGTGAGCATGTACTCCTCTCACAGGGGACGTGGCCTGCCTGACAGAAACTGCTGGACCTTAGGCCTCACCTCTGTATGACCCCAACACCCTACTTCCCTCACAGGAGAAATGGAAGCCCAAGAAGGAGGATGTGAATTGGCTGCACACAGAATGAATGTACCACCCACTTCCCATGACTAGCAAGACTAGGAGAGATGGAAACCCAGAGGGAGAGCTGACAGCTGGAAGCCAGACTTCTCAGACTCTGTACTCTCTGTCTAATGGATGCTGGAAAGGCCTAGAATAATGACCTGATATTCTGATCCCCAGTTACAGTTCTGATATGTGTGTGGATTTTTCTATTTCCTGTTCTCTAATACCAGCTGAATGTCATTTAGTTCAGCTCAATTCACATACAACCTAGAGATAGAGTCAAATCTCACAGGGTAAGGGTTCAGTCCCTTATCCCATACATCCCTCCAATACCAAGTAGAAGTCCAGGATGTCACCTGTACTTCTGACCAGCAGGCTGTAGGTCAGAGATTTCAATGATCCTCTCCTTGAATTTTATTAATTTGCTAGAGCTGCTCATAGAACACAGAAGAACAGTTTCCTCACTAGATTACTGGTTTATTAGAAAAGGACATAATTCAGCAAGAGCCAGATGGAAGAGATGCACAGGGCAGAGTGTGGGGAAAGGCCATGCTGGTTCCTAGAATGCCATTCTTCCCTGAATCTCAGTGTGTTCAGCAGCCCAAAAGCTCCCAGAAATCTGTCCTTTTGTGTTTTGTGGAGACTTCATTTCACAGGCTTGGTTGATTAAATCATTGAACATTGGTTGCCATTGATTCAACCTTGTCTCTTTCTCTGAGGTTGGACTGTAAAGTTCCAACCCTCTAAACAGAGCTGGGTCTCCTGGTGTCATAGTCATTTGTCTCTAACACAACAAAAGACAACTTTGTTGCTATCATCAGTGAGGAAATTCCAAGAATTTTCAGAGCTCTGCCAGAAACCTGGAAAGAGAGCAAACATATATTTAATCACAGTAGTACAGACTTAAGGGAACAGCTGACCTTCCTGCCCACTACCTCTTTTCTGCTTCCCTCTTGCCTATGCTTGACCTGTGTCCCTTGATGTTTCAGCATAAAGGGTGGTACTTAAAATTTACTCTTTTCTTAACTCCTTTGCTGAACTGAGTGGTTGTCATTCTATAAACGGGAAGGGGCAAAGCCAGAGGAGGGACAAAGGCAGCCACTGCAGGACAGTTTTGTTCTAGATCCAACTATAATAATTTTCTCTGGTTTTCAGGATTTACAAAGAATAGTCAATGTAGTAACTTTGCTAACAACAGTTATAGATCCCTCTCTCCAAAAGGGACCTTTGGAGTTTTAATTTGGTGAACTCTAGTTTTCTGATAAATGGCTGGGGAGATACAAAGCTGAGAACACAGCCTGGTTCCACATTATGGATTCCACTTATCCTCACCACTTTTGAGTTAACCTGGCTTCCCTCCCCTGTCTCCAAAGTGGGGCAGTGCTGTTTCCTAAAGGCTAGTGGGGGAGCTAGGAGGCTGTGGGGGCCATGTGCATGGGGACCATTGCTTTGTGAATGGAGTCTTCCCTGAATGTGCTGGGGCTGAGCACTGCCTGTCACATGAGACAAGGCCTTGTCAGTTTTCTAATTACTGAGCCCTGGTATCATGACCGCAGTCTGAGGAGGTGACTTCCCCACCCTGATTTTGAAGTGATATCAGGGCACATCCCTGAGAGATGGGTGCCTTTGCCCTGATCCCTTCCTTATCCATGAGTTGTTTGAGACCTGAGAGGTAGTTCAGATTCTAGAAGGGCGAGGCAGCAGGGTGTTGTTTTGCGGTGGTGTCAAGGCCATTTTCAGTGGGAAACTGGTGAGGACCGATTTCGAGCAAATACCAGTGTACTTTGTCTTTTGGCACATATTTGCTTCCTGTCCTGAAATTGGCCACCCTTAAATCATAAATACACATGTGTGATATCAATACGCCACTTGATTGTGCTGCCTTTCGCAGGTTGGTGTGAGTGGCTCTGCTGATTGTTTGAGTGATCTTGTTTCCTTCTGGAGGGATTCACATTTTTGCATTGGTCTCTCCCAGGATCCTGCCTCCATCGACAGAATGGTGTCCACAGGGCCAGAAACGAAGAATCTTGAAAATCATCTCAAGTAAGGCTCCCCCAAATGCATATCCAGTTGGATTGACTTGAGTTTATTGTGCTCACTTTGTGCTACATAGTTTTCTAAGGGCTAAAGCCTTTGATTCTTGGGACAGAGGTTATTGTCTGGAGGCACAAGCTCTGTAGGCTCATAGTGTAGATGGCTGGAGGCCTCCTTGGCTTGTGCCTAGTGCCTCTTAGCTGTGGGGATGTGTTGTCTCAGAAGACCTCTGTGTCCACTGAGGTTCAGCTTATACATGATGACTCTTCTGAAACATATTCCCCTAGCTTTTTTTGGTTCTGTGTCTTAAATGCTTTTTTCTTTGTAGTTTTTCAAATTTCATTTTGTGCTTCATAAGAACCATTTTTATGTTTACTTTGGAATTTCTGAAGAAACAAGAATTTATTTTAATCCCAATTCCTACATGAGCTTTAAATTCACAATTTTTCTAATTTCCTTGCCATCTACTTGTCTAGAGCCTCTGCTGGCATTACCTGGAGACCCTGTCCTACTTCAGTGGACTCCCTTCGTCCCAGTGACCTCTGAGCTTGATAACAACTGGGTTGTATAGCTTTGGGCACTCACACACGGGCTTCTTCCTCAGTCCATTCCTAGGAGGTTTCTCAGGGATTCTTCTGACCTCCTGGGCCCTCTGGAGTATCATGTGGTGGTTATAAGTCCAGGTCATAATTCTACGTGAATACCTGTCCTAGCTCCTTAATTCTTGTAGGTTTTGAGGTCTGTTTTCACATTTTAGGTGCCCTAGTTTTAGGCGCCCTGGTTATTACCTGCAGAGATAACCTTTATTGAAGTAATAGTGTCCCTGGCACTTTCCGTCATTGACAAAAATGACCAATCCATAATTTCTGAGGATCTTCCCAGTAGACTGAGGCCCTTGGGGTACTGGTGGAGGTTTGTGGTTGGAGTGAATGTTGGGGAAGGGTGGGCTGACCTTCAAGTGCCATGTATATGACTTAACTGGAGAGTGGCCCCTTCCCTTCACTTAGGAATTTCTTTCCCTTCCCTTGGTAGATTTTTTTTAAGATTTATTTATGTATACAAGAACTGGGATGCAGGCCAGGGGGGTGAGAGGATTCACCAGAGACAGAGTGGGGAACAGAGCAGACGGTTTGACTGAAATACAGTGCTGAGGGGAGCAGCAGGAGAGACAGGAGAGGTCTGCTGCGCCATGTGGGTCAGCTCCCCAGCAGGGGATCAAACTCCAGCTGCAGTGGCTGTCCATAGATAGCTTCATAGTGCTGAGACTTAACCCCTTGCACCATCAGGGAAGCCCCCTCCCTCAGTAGTTTTATTGTCAACTACTGACTTGTCACAATCCCCCAATGGTGTTAAGAGTCTGAAGTCTGGCTCATGAGTGCAGCTTGTTAACAAAGCTGTGTCTGTGAAATTTACAAATGGGCATTCAGAAGGAACCTATTTTCTACAGTGTTTGTGAGTTTTAAATGAATTACTACATCTTAGCTGTTAACAATATCATTTCTACTACAAAGCCCAATGCCTTTCATCTTACTAATCTGTATGTTGCTTATGGTTTGTGCAGAGAATGATGTGGGGCTGGTATTAGATCTGGTTGACATTCCTTGAGCTCTCCCTTCCTTATTCTCTTCTTGTTCCCTTGAGTGCCTGGCCCAGGCATTGGGACCAGTATGTGGAATGGTGGGTAGTGAATGGTGGATAGTGTTTCTCTCCATGCTGAGAAACTCCTGGAATGTGAAGCTAGTTTTTAGTTATCATCTAATACATTCCTTTTACATAGTAGATTTTCAACAAATATTTGTTAAATGAAGAAAGTAGCAGAAGAAAACAAGAGAAAGTCACTTGGAATTGAATGTGGACTAGGGAAATAATTTTCCATGTAATATGTCTTTGAATTATTATTTTAAGATCCTCTAAAAAAACAGTTTGAGTATGTTCTGGTCACTTTGTTGCAGGTCCAATTTACTTATTTTAATGTCATTGCCAGTCTTCATGGTTACACCCTATTTATTTCTCCACTTCCTCCTGGAATCAAAAAGAAAAGAAAGGTTTTCTATTTTGAAATATGTGACTAAGTTTTCTTAATCATTTCCTGTTTTGTCATTTCCAAAGCATGGCCATCACCGCTTCTATTGGGTACTTTCTGTTTTCATAACATCCTGAAGGAAAATAGGATACAGAATTACATTAACAATAATTGTCGGGCCTCCCCGGTGGCGCAGCGGTTGAGCGCTGGGTTGTGAAGCTGCCCGCGGCCTCTGTGGCGCCGGTTCGATCCCCGGCTGCTCCCTCGCCACCGGAGGAGGGTCCCGCATGGCACGCAGACCTCTCCTGCCGCCCGCTGCTCCCCTCACAGTGTACTTCGGTCCTTCTGCCTGCTCTGCTCCCTGTTCTGGCTCTGGTGAATTCTCTCACCCTCCCGCGCTTCTGACTGTACCCAGTGCTTGTATAAACAAACAAACAAACAAACAAATAAATAAATAAAACATGCCTCTATAAAAAAAAAAAAACAACAAAAAAAAAAAACAAAAAACCCCCCCAAAAAACAATAATTGTCATTGAAGGATCTTAAAATGCTTAAACTGTTATGTTGGCAGAATTTCAAAAACACTGTTCTTGGCAACATTTAGGGATTATCCTAACTACTCATATGTCTGCATTGGGATCCATGGAATGTGGTCTCTGAACTAAGTGGTGGAATGAAACTGCCTAAATCTGGAGCGCAACCTGACCTAGTCAGGGATGGTCAGAGTCTTAGGGGCAAATAAGGATTCTGCCTGGGGCACAATTTTCAGCATCTTTGTCCCAGGTGTGGTAATAAGAGTGAGCAGTTGGCAAGTACCATGAATGATGAATTGCAGTCTATCAATCCAGAGATGTCTGAAACCTAGAATGTGTTTCAGTGTAAGTTAAGTTGTGTTCTACTCTAGGGAAGTATGATGGGAAATGTGGGAAGGGTGAAAGGAGGAAACAATTGACAGAGAAGAGTAAGCAGCAGGAAGAGTCAGGGTCTGAGCCTGGTGTCTGTTATTGATGCCACACTAGATAGAACAGGAGATAGAGAATGTGATAGATGTAGCAGATAAAGCAGGCAAGGGTTTTTCACCCTTGTTTTGCTGCTCTGTGGGAATTCAGAAACAAAGAAGGTATGGCCATGGCCTGTAAGAGTTTTTCGTCATTGGAGATAAAGTTAATATATTAGTGGATTATAAGAAGAGTGATAAAGTATTATAAACTTCTCCTGGAGAATGAGTGAGTCTGGAATGGAGAGTCTTGCTGTGCCTGGAAAGCAGAGCAGATGGCCAGGGTGGGAATTGGGATGTCTAGTTAGGAGCAGGGGACCAATGAGGGCCAGCTTGAGGCAGGGTCACAATGAGAACATGCCAAGGGAAAGGCAGGGCTACAAAAAAGTGAGAATTGGTTAGGAGTCCTGAGTCTTAGAGTAGGTGGAAATGAGTCAAGGAACATCAACATGAAGGCAGGGACATTCAAAACCTTTGCTGAGTTTTCAAGCAATCCATAGGGTGCATTCTTAGGAATTTAAAAGCCAGCAGAAAGGATGGCTAGAAGTTTTGTGGGTGTTAAGTCAATTTTTATATAGGCTAAAATGTTCGTGTGCTGTGACACAAAGCTTATCACATGCAAACTCTCTGAGACCACTGGGTGCTCTTTCACAGGGTCCTTTAATCCATATTTGCTCTTGACCACCTTTACATTCTAAGCCCCTTGCACCATTTCCCTCAATTTTAATGGAGAAAGGAGGGCTGGCCCTCAAGTGCCACATATATGACTTAACTGGGGCATAGCCCTTTTCCATGGCTGAAGACCACCCAGCTGGTGCCTCTTAGGTGTCATTGCAATGACACCAACGTCCATCTATACAACTTCCTTTTAGATACTGCCACACCTCAATATGTTCAAAGGTGAATCCCATGTTTATCTCTGAACTTAAACTTCTACCACTTGGATTCTCTCACTTAGTTGGTGACCCTGACAATTAGAAGGTTAGAAATCTTGGACTCATTTTACTTTCTCTTTATCTTACAGATAGATTCAATTAGAACTGTATGTTTGGTTGATTTTTAGCTTCTGCAGGGTTTTCAGCTCCCTGTGCTTGGTTCAAGGCTCAGATGTCTGCCCTGAGACCACTGGGTACTCTTTTATGGGGTTAACCTAACCCCAGGTGGGCTTTCCCCTCCTTAAGCTGATTTACTGCTGCTGGAGTGAGAGTTCTAGGTGATATCTTTTACTAATTCCTATCCTGTCTGGACTTGGCATCCAATCTCCCCCAGATCAGGAGGAGTCAATCTTGTACCTACATTCCCAGTACTTGTACCCTCTTGAGCCCTGCTGAGGGTACAAGAACATAGCAAGCACCATGCTGTCAAATGCCCCAGCTTTGGCTCAGTCTGCTTCCTTTCCTGGGAGTTACCTCCTTATTTTAAATCCCTCATGAAGAATTTTGCACATTCCTCTAAACCTGTAATGAGATCTTTTTTTCTGTCAAGTGTCAGAGAGTAAATATCTTCAGTTTTGGGGATGTAAGTCTGTCATAACTACTCAACTCTGCCTTTGTAGATTAACACAAAAGCAAGTGTGGATAAAAGCTAATGGGATGAGTGTGGGGTGTGCAGCAAACTCCAGTAGACGGTGTTCAGCTGGGGTTGTCCTGTGGGCTGCAGATACCGACTCTGCTCTGAACTTTTTTAGAAGCTGTCCTTCCCTGGATTCTGCCCCCTTTCTCCATCTTAGAGAAGTTAACACTGTCTTGTCAATTGATTTTGCTTCCATTAGCTTTTTTCAAGAGATGTGAGCCCCTTGGAGGCAGGAGCCATCTTGAAGTGATCATTGAGGTCTGACAGTGACTGATGTAGGCTAGGTATTCAGTGCAGTTTTTTAACTCATAATTTTGTTACTAATAGTTCACAGATAACTTGTTTTCCCAGGAAATAATCTGTTATCATACGGAAAGCATAAATAAATGTAAATAGAAGTTGACATTAGAGCTATCCAGTACATATATTTGGTAGGGAAATGTGTATTTTCAGTTAGATTTTGAAGTATTGTCTGACAAACTTCCCAAACACTCATCTCCCCTGGGAAGAGGCCCCTGGGAAAAGGTCCCCTGAGTCACAATAAAGTATCTTTTTACATATAAAACTGTGAGTTTGGCAATGGATTGACTTGATGGGCTTGGTTTAAATAGGTGTGTGGATGTACAAGTCCACCTGTGTACATCACTGTTAAATCAATTGACAAGGTGCTGGGACCCTACTCTCTTCTTGTTCCCCTTATGCACAGAGTTAGACTGAGGTGGAATGTGATTAGTGCATTGTGTCACATTCAGAAGGAAGAAGCAGAAGGTCCTGGTTTTTCTGAGTTGGAATCTATGTCTGATTCCCTCTGCATCCCTGACACGTGGCAGGCTGGGTCACTGCTGAGCAGAAACCTGTCTTGTGGGGCTCTTGTTGAGAGAGCTCTTATCTCTCTCTTGTTGAGAGAGATATCTGTGGACAGGGCAGACTGTAGACCTGGAGCACCTATTTTTGTAAATGAAGTTTTGGGACACAACCAACTCCTTACATGTTGTCTGAAGTTTCTTTCATGGAACAACAGCAGAGTTGAGAAGTCTAGACCCAGCAGTGTGCTGTCCAATGGAAATGTAATGTGAACTGCATAAACTCTCTGGTAGCCATATTGAGAAAAGGCTGCCTTATCTTGTCTCTCTTGTTGGACATGGGGCATCATGCTGCTTAGTGAAACAAGGCAAGAAAAAGAAAAAAGGAGCACAAATTGGGTGATAGAATCAAAGGCATTTTTTCCTCCTCTTTCCACCCATATTTCCTATGGTGAGTGTATTATTTTTAAAATAAATCTATGTTGGATGAACTTGAGTTGGAAAGCAATTGATTCTACTCTTATGTGGGGTAATTTGGCATTTTGATCTTTATGCTTTTGTATGATGGCCTTTCTCTCTTTTTTTTTTTTTTAAGAAGGGTCTATTCCTTTTTTTTTTTTTTTTTGTGAGATTTATTTATTTCTTTATACAAGCACTGGGTTACAGTCAGAAGTGCGGGAGGGTGAGAGAATTCACCAGAGCCAGAGCGGGGAACAGAACAGGCAGACTGATGACATACACTGCTGAGGGGAGCAGCGGGCGGCAGGAGAGGTCTGCTCGCCATGTGGGACCCTTGCCCGGTGGCTGGGCATCGAACCGGCGCTGCAGAGGCTGCGGGCAGCTTCGCAACCCAGCGCTCAACTGCTGTGCCACTAGGAGGCCCAGCCTTTCTCTTTTTTTAATGGCTCTCCAAATGGATCAGCAGGAAGGAGAAGGGGCAGGCTCTGCTGGGGAAGTAGGATCCCCTGTGCTGCTGGGGTGTCTCATCCCAGCGTGTTAGGATATGGGGTACTTCCATGATCTTGGAACCTGCTGGATCCTGGGGTTCTATAAATCTTATACCTTCCTGTTTTGTGACAGCAACTGCTTTGTACGACCTTGCAACCCACATATAGCAACAATGAAAGAAGATGTTCTCTACCATTTCAACCTCAGCACTAGCACTCACAATTTCCCAGAGATGTTTGGGGATGTGAAGGTAAAAGTGGGGCATTTAATTCTGGGGGTTTGTCTTAAGATCTGCCTCCTCCTAGGTGACATGGACACACTTCCTCACAGAGGGTTGAAATAACAGAGGTAATGAAGTTACATGCTTAACAGATTTTTGTGAGTTGTTACTTTTCATGGATATGAACTAGTAAATGAAAGAAAACGATCTTAATTGCTGCCATTTTGTCCCTAATTACTCTTACAAATTAGTATAAAATAGAAACACTATAAAATAAATTTTTCTTCATTGAGAGACTAGAAAACAAAGGAGCACAAAACATTTTTCAGGGGAACAGGAGAGAATAAGTGGCGCATACAGCATCTGCTTGACATTTAAAACACATGTTGATATTCTTTTTTTTTTAAAAGATTTATTTATTCATGCGTATAAGAACTGGGATATGAGCCAGATGCACAGGAGGGTGAGAGGATTCACCAGAGACAGAGAGGGGAACAGAACAGGCAGACTGACTGACGAAATACACTGCTGAGGGGAGCAGCGGGCAAGACAGGAGAGGTGTGTGGTGCCATGTGGGCATCTCACTGGCCGTCCAGGAATCGAACCCATACTGCAGAGGCTGTGAACAGCTTCACAGCGCTGTGCTCAACCGCCTGCACCACCAGGGGAGGCCCACATGCTGATATTCTTAATTGTCTTTTAGTAGTTTATTTTGCTGAATATAGCTTCGAGTCTGTTTTTCCTACAATGTCTAAGTTCCTCATTGCTGATGTTTCCTAATACAGACGTATTGAAATGTCTAATCCCTGTGGGTAAGGGTGTTTGGAATTAGAAGTTGAAAAGAACCAGGCTGCTACCTGGAGTCAGCTCTGGGCTCTTCACGGGGTTCATTTTAGGTTCTGGGACAACGTCCCAACTGTTCTTAATGTATTGATATTCTTTTTTTTAAAATTTTATGTATTTTTTACACCATTTTTCATTTTTTTACAGTGTATGCATTTTCATCTTGACAACACTAATGATAAAGGACTGATCACAAAAATCTACAAAGAGCTGATGAGACTCAACAAAAACAAATAACACAGTCAAAAAAATGGGCAGAAGATGCGCCTTCCCCGGTGGCGCAGCGATTGAGCTCTGGGTTGTGAGGCCACCCGCAGCCTCTGCAGCTACGGTTTGATCCCTGGCGGCCGGGGGAGGGTCCCAAATGACATGCAGACCTCTCCTGCCACCCACTGCTCCCCTCAGCTGTGTACTTTGTCAGTCTGCCTGTTCTGTTACCCGCTCTGGCTATGGTGAATTCTCTCACCCTCCCATGCTTCTGACTGTACCCAGTGCTTGCATAAATCAATCAATCTTTAAAAAAAAAAGCTAACTTACTTATTAAAAAAATGGGCAGAAGAGCTAAAAAGGAACTTCTCCAAAGAGGAAATGCAAATGGCCAACGGGCATATAAAAAAATGTTCTGCATCACTTGCAATCAGGGAAATGCAAATCAAAACTACCATGAGATACCATCTTACACCAGTGAGAATGGCACATATTAAAAAAACTAGCAACAACAAATGTTGGCGAGGATGTGGAGAAAAAGGAACTCTCCTGCACTGCTGGTGGGAGTGCAAACTGGTCCCACCGATTGATATTCTTTCAAGGTTTTTTTTTTATGACTATGGAAATTTCCTTTTTCATGTTTCGGGACTAATAATTCTTTCATTATCAAACTCTTTAAAACTAGCCTATTTGATTTTTGTGTGTAATACAATGAATAGTAAGTTTTTTTTATAAGGCCCCTTTTTTTTCTTTCTTGAGAGATGTCTACTCTTGATAATGACCACCTCTTGAGACTACCCCCCTTTCTAGCCCCTGTCTCTTTGCATGTATTGGTCACTTTGCCCTAGACAGCCCAGCAAGTTAGAGTTAAAATTCCATGTTACAGATGGACTGTGGGGCCCTGGTCATACAGTGAGGACTTTGGACCAGATTATTCTAACCTCAGGTCCCCTTTTATATACTGAACTGCTGTCCCCGAGTAAGAAAGAGATCAGGCAGTCGTGGAACCTGGGATTGCTGTCCCAGAGAGAGCAAGGGACTAATTTTCCTGTGCTTTATAGTGCTGATTGCTTAGTACTGCTGGAACCTCCTGCATGAGGGGTGTTCCATGACCCAGTGATTCTTTTTTTTTTTTATGATTTATTTATTTATTTATACAAGCACTGGGTACAGTCAAAAGTGCGGAAGGGTGAGAGAATTCACCAGAGACAGAGCGGGGAGCAGAACAGGCAGACAGGCAGACAGACGAAATACACTGCTGAGGGGAGCAGAGGGAGCAGCAGGAGAGGTCTGTGCGCCATGTGGGACCCTCGCCGGCGGCCGGGAATTGAACCGGTGCTGCAGAGACTGCGGGCAGCTTCGCAGCCCAGTGCTCAACCGCTGTGCCACAAGGGGAGGCCCGACCCAGTGATTCTTAAATGTATGTGTGTCAGAGTCACCATGATGGCTCACTAACATACCATTACTGGACCCTCAGAAATAGAAGGTCCCACTTGGGGCCAGGGAACCTGCATTTCTAGCAAGTTCTAGGTGGTGCTGAAGTTGCTGTTTGGGCCCTACTTTGAGGATCCTTTTACATATTGTGCTGTGCCTGCACTGATGGGGGCTCTGTTCTCTGTTCATAGTTTGTGTGTGTTGGAGGAACCCCTTCCCGAATGCAAACCTTCATCAGAAACCTGGCCCCTGACCTGGGCCTTAGCATCCCCGGTGCAGATTATCCCAACATCTGTGAGGGGACTGACCGCTATGCCATGTTTAAAGCCGGGCCGGTGCTGTCAATCAGTGTGAGTAACTGCCCCGTGTGGTGGGCTCTGTCCTCGGTACTGCAGACTCCTGCGACGCTCCACACATGCAGACCTCTGTTGCTTCAACACGATCTTACTCTATCAGACTAGGAACAAAGTGAGTCCCAAATCTGGCTATTGAGATAGGCGGGTCCCAAGGCCCAGCCCCTCCTGGCTCGGTGTCCAGGAGAGACCACTACACAGTGCGAACATAAATCCAGCTTTACTCGGCTGTGTGCATGTGGGATAGATCTCAGGTTAGAGACACAAAAGGAGGGTGAATTAGTACTGTGACAAAAGCATGACCAGCCCCCAAGCCTCCAGTCCCTTCCCCACCTCACAATGATTTCCTTTATATACATTTTGATCTATAATGAGAGTGAACACATAAATTTCCGGTATTTCCCAAAGGAGTCTGCATTATTTAGTTTGGTTCTCTTTGTAGGCATGAGTTCTGGGATGAGTTCTGCTATTTCTCTGGGATGTCCAGCAACAGCATCCATCATCCAGAGTACACCGTGAGCCAAGATAGTATTTAGCTCCAGAAATTCACAGATGCACTTCCCATGTAGACTCTGGCAAAAACACTCTCAAAGGAGTACCTCTGTCTTAGCAGCTGCACAGAATCTGCGAGGGTTGTTGGGGGGTTGTTGTGGAAGATCTGACTCTGGAAGGCTCTGAGACACTGCTGGGGGCACTGACACAGACAGAACTAAGGAGGTGCTGGTGGATTTCTTGGTGTGGCTGAAGCAGAGGGAAGTGAAAAGAGAGAAACTCCAATAGACTTACATGGGTGGGGTGTTTGTGCAGGGTCTCCAGAGCAAGAGGGCTGTTTGGTACCCGGTGATAGCAGGCTGTTGCTCCTCTATAGAGCTGCTTCCCATTCTTCAGTGGCTATCTATTTCCTGGGGTGTGGGGATCAGATAGAATTTTCTACAATGCTTATGCAGTAATTACCATGAGAAAAAAATTTGATGCAGCAAATTATACACATTTTGACACGTCCCAAAGCGTTAAGTTTTAAAATTTGTATTTTGAGGTTCACCTTCTGTTATTACCAGTTTGAAATGCACTACAGACATCACAAAGGCACCCTAGAGCTTAACTTGGGCATTTCTTCCTGCTTCCAGCACGGGATGGGCATTCCTTCCATCGCTATTATGCTACACGAGCTCATCAAGCTGCTGTACCATGCCAGGTGCTCTGGCGTCACCATCATCCGCATCGGCACCTCCGGTGGGATAGGTATGGGTCAGCATGGAGTGGATGGGGACCTGCAGCCCCCCTGAGGTGGGCCAGTGTAGGGTAGACTGGGATACCGTGAGCTTCTACTGTGCTTTCTACTTTGCAAAGAAAGTTCATTATCAGGACGTGGGAAGCTTGTTTTGTTATTTGTTTATTCTGCCCATTTTCCTAATCCACACCTGAGAAAGGCACCAGGTCAAGCCTCTGCAGAAAATCATCCTTTTAGGGTCATACCCTTTGTGCCTTCTTGTTTGTTCGAATCTCTCCTTTTGTTCTTTCTAATTTCTTTCTCCTTTCCTTTGCTGACTCCCAATCCTTTTCCTGTAAGGATTTGAAGCACCTTATCAGAAAACTTCCTGGAAAATCAGAGAGGTAGGAGAGAAATGAAATACAAAATTAAGATAAGTGTCCTCAAGTTGCCTCAACATGTTTGTTCCATTTAAATCACAGAGATAGCAAAGAAAGAAAAAGATGCAATAAGAAAGAAAAATTCTGAAGGTGTGTTGAATTTTAAGTCACAGTTCATTAGTGAGATTTTGCTTCACATTAGCTATTTTCTCATCTGGGGTCCCAAGTGTGCTAAGAACTAGTTCCAGTGATTCTGGATCTCCAGCTCCTACCAAGGAGCTGCCTGAATGAGTCTGGTGTTGCCTGATTGTCACTGGCTGGGCCTGTGCCCATTTGTCTCTGACTTCCTGGATTTATAGCAATTCTAGAACTTAGGTTTTCTGACCATGAGAGAATTTTGTGAACCCTAAATCTTCTGGCACATTATCTCATTTTTTTTTTTCCTTCTCTAAAGAGACAGACTGGTTTGTAAAATCTGTGCTTCCAGGATTAAATATTTAAAGAAGTTGTTCCCGGGGAAACAGCATTACCATGAGCTTCTTGGTCCTGCAGATTTCATCTTTGATGACATCAGCAGCAAGATGCCCACAGCTGTGCCAGGGTCTGCCAGGAACACCTGCAGTCATTCTCGAGTTCTTACTTTGGAGGGCATTTTAAAATCAATAATCAGAATCCTTCTGGCGAGAGTAGTGTAGACTTCGAGTTTCCAGGCAGAAGAGCTCCAGAGAGAAACAGTAACAGTGAGATGGCAGCACCCCCACAAGTCCCCAAATAACACAAAGCATACTCAGGGTGGCTATGGAGTTTTTGATTGACATGAGAACAAAAGAACCCCCCAAACAGTCACCAGATTCTCCTGGGAAAGAGAATTTGGTTTGTCCTGGTTTTTCCATAAAAGCATTAAATGTGGGGGCTCTAGCATAGACCTCTTGATTTGTTCTCATTTTTTAATATTTAGGAAAACTAGTTTCATATTAAAATAACCTGAAAGGTTCATGGTCAAATTTCATGCACCATTTTTAAAAGACCCCAAAATAAGCAGTGTCCTGATGAACATGACAACACAGCAGCCGATATGGGGAGGGGTTTACTGATCCTGATTTGAGGATGAACCTGAGAACTGAGGCACCTTGGCTATTCTGGGCCCCTGATTCCATGACAGGTGCTAGCCAGAGTTTTCTTCAGGTTAAAACTCAATGGAGGAGAAAAGCTTAGAGGCGAATCTAAATTGATCAGAACATGGGTCAGAGTGGTGAGGCAAAGTCCAGATGAACATAACACAGAGCAGACAGCTAGATCTAAGCAATTTGTCCTGGTTTTTCCTCAAAAACAGTAAATGTGGGGGCTCTAGGACAGACCTCTTGATTTCACTCTCATTTTTTAATGTTTAGGAAAATGAGTTTCACATTAAAATAACCAGAATTTTTCATGGTCAAATCCCATGCACCATTTTTAAAGGACCCTAAAATAAGCAGTGTCCTAATGAACATGACAACACCCCAGGAAAATTTGCCCAGCAAATGTATAAGCCAGAACATAATGGTGCATCTATACCACACTGGATGGAGTTGCATGTGGGCACTTGAAGTTTATTGCCTAATTTTTGCATTTACTTGAGATCCTAAGCAATAAAAATGTATGAAATAAGGACTGATTAAACACATGGTAACCATCACAAGTGCCAGAAAATAAAAACTAACAATGTCTGGAAAGCACATTTATACCAGGAGGGGAAGGCTCTTGGCAATTTCTTCTTCTTTTATACTTTTCCCCTCCGTATTATCTACAATGGTTATACATTAATATTACCTTTATCACCAGAAAAAAAAAATGATGCAGCAAGTAGATCTTTTCCTATTTCTTTTTGTAACTTATTAGATGCTTTAGTTTGTGGGTGCAGAGAGGGATCACTTTCCCTTCTGCTGTGCCCTCCCTGTCTACCCCATGTGGCTGACACTCCTTCTCCTCCAGGGCTGGAGCCTGGCTCTGTGGTCATCACCCAGCAGGCAGTAGATGCCTGCTTCAAGCCTGAGTTTGAGCTGGTGGTCCTGGGGAAGCCAGTGGTTCGGAGCACAGACTTGGATGAGCAGCTCGTGAGGGAGCTGGCGCAGTGCTCTGCGGACCTGAGCCAGTTCCCCACTGTTGTGGGCAACACCATGTGTACCCTGGACTTCTATGAAGGTAAGAGGGCAGGTCTCACTTGCCGGCTCAGGCTGGTCTCCTACATGAGGGTCTCCATAATGGCCCAGGTCCCTGTCTCATCAATGTTTTCTTGGCTGTTGTCACTCTCTGTGAGTGGGCAGTCCGGGCTCAGAGCACCTGGGGGGCTTCCTCCTGGGGAACCGTGGCCTGGGCGTGTAGTAAGAGCTTCACATCTGTTCATGGCCAGCTCACCCATGTCTCCATGTGTTTTCAGGGCAAGGCCGTTTGGATGGTGCTCTCTGCTCCTACACAGAAAAGGACAAGCAGGAGTATCTGCAGGCAGCCTACATGGCCGGCATCCGGAACATTGAGATGGAGTCCTTGGTCTTTGCAGCCATGTGCAGAGCGTGTGGTCTCCGAGGTGGGCTGGCACTTGGTTACTCAGCTCTCTTCTCACTCTTCCCAGCCTGTTGACAGCCTTGGTTCTCCTCTTCAGCAACTCTTCCCAGGGAACGTGCCACCAGCATCTGCCTCCTGCCCACCCACCCCCAAAGTGTGTTTTTGACCTACTGACATGGCACACCCTGTGCCCAGATGTCCTTTGATGGCCCTGTGGTCAGATGCAAGAATAGCTTGCCTCTGAGCTAGGGGAGAAAGAGGTTGGAAAGGCCCACCTCCACTTGGATCAGGTTTTGCAGCCAACCCAACAATATTGTACCTGACTTTCAGTGTTCTTTGACTTCTGAATTGGGGTTAATCCACCCAGGATTGTCGCTCTTCACAGTCCAACACTGCCTTCCAGAATTCCTACTTCCCTGGCACTGTGCTGTTAAAGGCAGTACAGGGTCTCCCACTCAGGTCCTAGGATTTGCTGGGGAATTTCTTTTGGAAGCAAAAGGCAGTGGAGAATAAGGAGAGAATAAAGGGTAGCACAAGGAGGGAGGAGCCTTCTAGACCTTTCTTTTCTCTCCATCGCCCAACACACAGCGGGTGGTCTCACCAGCCCCTCCCTTGACTGTCTCTGAGCTCATGGAGACATCTGACACTCTCACGTGGTCTTTGTTCTTTGCAGCGGCTGTGGTGTGTGTCACGCTTCTGGACCGCTTGAAAGGGGATCAGATCAGCAGCCCTCACGAGGTCCTGGATGAGTACCAGCAGCGGCCTCAGCAGCTGGTGGGCCACTTCATCAAGAAGTGCCTTAGTAGCTCTTCCTCTTCCTCCTCTGCAGGATGTCTCTGATTTATAATTGTCTGTTTTTGCTTTGTGGTGTGAGGGAGAGGGATCAGAGGGCAGGAGGAAGGAGCACAGGGGACTGTGGTGATGGTGCATGGGTGCCTTGGGGAAAGAAATTCTATGGGGATTACATCTGAGGCGGAGGGAAGCAAATATTGTTTAAAAATGAACAATGATGTAAAAAAAAAAAAGTGCCTTGGTGTGATCTGAAGTCCCTGTACCTCCCGGATCAGTGGTCCTGATCGTTTGCAAATAAAATCATTGTCAACCCCCCTTTTGTATGACTCAGAACACATTATATAAGTATTTAGGGAATTGAGGTAAATTTCAGGGGCAAAGAACCCTGCATTAACTACCCAAATTTCTATTTGTTGGGTTTCATTGGAGTGTTTTAGCCTGATTTAGGTTTTCTTTCAGAAAAAAGAATATTTGAAATATTTCTAGGGGAAATTTCAAACTTTCAAATTTCAGTAGGTTTAGATTTTACACTGTTAAGCAAGAAATCTAATTAGAGTGTCATAAAACTTATATCCTGATGCATTTTAAAAATTCTGTATATTACTTATAACGAGTGCTGAAAACCAAAGATGCCGGGACCAGGTGTTTGAGAATAAATGCACACAGGGACATATACTGTTTACAAGTTACTTTCAGCCACATTTCTGTAGTTATCTACGTCAGCCTAGTCACACTGTGAGAATGCCAGCTCCATTCTCCTGGTGGGTCTGGGTACCTGTGCTGGGGAATGGTTCACGTACATTCAGACAGGTTGTCTAATGTCTGCCCATGGCAGGGTTGCCACAGGCCCACTCTGGCCCTTGCTCTGACCATTCATCCCGTCCAGTCTCCCTGGTCCTTAAGTTTCCTCTGGGGTCTCTCAGTGAGCTGCCCTGTCTGGGAGTATCTCTGTCAGTGAGTCTGACAGTAGCTACTTCTGGGTTACCCTCATAGCCCCCCTGACACTGCCAGTCCTTTCATCTTCCCAATCCAGGTCAGTTCTGATATATTTCCTGGTCACCCCAGTTGACTTCTCAACCTTTTTTTTTTTTTTTTGCCAATTTCTTGTATTCATTCTGTTTTAAATACTCTTAAGTGGGTGTATGTCCTGATATGCACTGAGAGTGCTCAGCTTTGTGACAGCTATGTGACTTTGACGGATGCAGGCAAGCATGTCAGGACAGTGGTGTGTGGGTGTGACTTGCTATACTTCTAAAGGCCCCTTCCCTGAGATTCTCCCCAAATTGAGGGTCACTAACCTGGTCATTCAGTAGGAACCTGGGTAGCTATCCCGGTGCCAAGAATAGGAGGCCCTGCTCCCCAACACCCCCAGCCCCTGCCCCGCCCAAGTACTAGGCACTGCAGTCTGGGCAGCTCACTTGTGGAGAATGAAGCACCTGCAGCTTCTCCTCAGCCATCCTGATTGGTTATTTGATGCAACATAAATTTGAGGCTTTCCAGCCAGGAGGGTGACAAACTAGATACTTTGGGGAGGCTGGCTGGTTCTGGAATGTGCATGTCCACTGGGACCACCACTAAACCCAGCATGAGCTGCAGGATCTGGGCTTTGTCAGCAGGCTACTGTCACGGGTCTCCCATCTTCCTTCACATTCTTGAGTGTCGGGGGCATTAGTTGGGTGTACTTGGTCCCTCTGGGTGACTGTTCAGACAGACTTTGCTCACACCCACAAAAGGCTATCTCTCTGGCTCACTGTGCTGGCCTGGCCAGGTCTGCATGTGGCCTTTGCAGGCTGTGTGTCCAGGCTGAGAGCTGGCATGCCACAGAGAATGCATGCTTGGCTGAGGATGCAGCTGGGGCTGACCCCTCAGCACACACAGGGACTCGAGGGTAGTCCTTGTTGGGCTCCACCCACAAAAGTGTGGCTAGATGCAGTCCTCTGCCAACTCCTGAGAAGACATCTTTGGTGAAGCAGAGAGAACACTGAAATGTTAGCAGCATTTAAGCTGTTTCTAGCAAAAGAAGGGATTGTTCCCCAGTGGGTTCTATCTCTGGGGCTCCTGAAAGTCTCTTCTGTTGGCAAGCTGTCTTCTCTATCCCACCCACTGCTTGGAGAGACTTTCTAGAAGTGGTGCAGTGATTACCCACTTCTGGGGCTAGGAGGAAGATACAACTCTTATTTAAATTTCTCTCAAGGCCTCCCCGGTGGCATAGTGGGTTGAGTGCAGCGCGGTGAAGCTGTCCGCAGCCTCTGCAGCATGGGTTCGATTCCCAGCCAGGGAAATACCCATATGGTGCGTCAGACCTCTCCTGCTTCTCCTGCTGCTCCCCTCAGCAGTGTTTTCATTCCATCTGCCTGTTGTTCCCTACTCTGTCTTGAATTCTCTCACCCTCCTGCACCTCTGGCCTGTACCCCAGTTCTTGTATAAATAAAAATATATCTTTAAAAAAAAATTTCTCTTAGATGCCAAGGCCACACTAAGGCAGCCCACACAGACTTTTGCTGCCTTATGCTGGCTGCTATAGGGAAGGCATGTCACTTCTCCTTGGTTCCCCTCATCTGTTAGCACCTCCCCCAACAGCAAGAGGGTTTGTGAAGTCTTAAAAAAAAAAAAGAAGAAGAAAAAAGAAAAAAGAAAAGAGGGTTTGTGAAGTTACTGTGCCTGATGCACAGGAAATGCCCCTTGCACTCTCATTCTGATGAGGAAAAATCCCATGACTCTACTTCCACAATGACAGCTAAATTGTAGATTTAGTTTCCTTTCTGAAATGTCTTCAGGGGTGACATTGCAAGCATCTTCACCTGGCTTGTTCAAGAAGCCTCCAAAGACCTGGTCCCCTCCCTCACTCTACCTGAGTGGAGACAGACAGTCGTGCTCAGATGACATAGTACAGTGAAAACAAATACAGCACTGCCTCACTCATCAGTGTAGAAAGAACTACAGACATACAGACATAATGAATTTATTGCTTTTTTATTTTATTAAGATTTATTTTTATTTATTTATACAAGCACTGGGTACAGTCAGAAGTGCGGGAGGGTGAGAGAATTCACCAGAGCCAGAGCGGGGAGCAGAGCAGGCAGAAGGACCGAAGTACACTGCTGAGGGGAGCAGCAGGCGGCAGGAGAGGTCTGCGCGCCACGTGGGACCCTCCTGCGGTGGCTGTGGAGCAGCCAGGGATCGAACCAGCGCTGCAGAGGCTGCGGGCAGCTTCGCAACCCAGCGCTCAACTGCTGCGCCACCGGGGAGGCCCTTATTGCTTTTTTTAAATGAAAAAAGCAATTTGTAGGATAACATATACATCATGATTCCATTTATTTAAAAGTTCAAAAGCAGGCAAAAACAAACACTTGTTTAATAATAAATATATTGTGTAGTAAGACTGAGAGAAACTACCACACCAGGGATTGAGAAACCCCAAATTCAGGGCACTGGTTCCCTCAGGGAGTGAGGGGCAGAGGCATTAGGGAGGAACACATGGGCTCCCCTAGAGGAACTTTCTATTTTCTTTTCTTTTTTTTTTTTTTAAAGATTTATTTTTATTTATACAAGAGCCGGGGTATAGGCCAGAGGTGCGGGAGGGTGAGAGGATTCACCAGAGACAGAGCGAGTAACAGAACAGGCAGACTGATGAAATACACTGCTGAAGGGAGCAGTGGACGAGACAGGAGAGGTCTGCTTGCCATGTGGGTTGCTCCGAGGCCAGTGGGGATTGAACTGGAACTGCAGAGGCTGCAGACAGCTTCACAGAGCTGTGCTCAACCACCTGTGCCACCAGGGAGGCCTAGAACTTTCTATTTTCTGATATAGACTTCGGGCATTTGATTTTATTGCCTTTTCACTTCACTCTGTTAATTGTTTCATTGAGGTGAATTGTTTTACTGCATTGTATGTGATTTAGTGGTTTAAGCTCACACCCTCAGGTGCATGTTATTCCACATCCCCCACCAGGCCTGGAAGTTCTCCACCTAGTTGTGTATGTCCCCCTCCCCCGCCCCCTCTGATAGCCTCAGTTCTACAGTTAGATTTCTAGAGCTTGTTATTGATTTGGTTTCATCTGACTTTTTGTTTTGTTTCTCTATTTTCCACATAAAAGTGGCACCATCTAACACTTGTCTTTCTCCTTACTTATTTCACCTCGCATTAGCCCCTCCAGCTCCATTCATGTCATCAAAAATGGCAAGAAATGAGCAGTGTCCCATTGTGTATATATCCACTTCTTCTGGATCCACTCATCTTGTCTTTGGGCACCTAAGTTGTTTCCATAACTTGGCTACTGTTTTTTTTTTTTTTTTTTTTTAAGACTTATTTATTTACGCATACAAGAGCTGGGGTATAGGCCAGAGGTGCGGAGGGTGAGAGGATTCACCAGAGACAGAGTGGGGAACAGAACAGGCAGATTGACCAAAGTACACTGCTGAGGGGAGCAGCGGGTGAGACAGGAGAGGTCTGCTGCACCGCATGGGTTGCTCCCTGGCCAGCTGGGGATCGAACTTGTGATGCAGAGGCTGCGGACAGCTTCATAGGTAGCGTCTTAACCCCTTGAGCCACCGGGGAGACCCCATAACTTGGCTATTGTAAATAAAGCTGCAATGAATATAGGAGTACATACCTAGGAGTGGAATCTCTGGATCATTAGTGCACTCAATTTTTTTTTTTTTAAGATTTATTTTTTTTCACATTTTATTTAAATTTTATTTTTTATATTCCCCATACAATTACAACCCCGTTATTCTGACCCCAAGCCCTCCTTTCCCCGTCCCCCACCCCCCATAGAGTGTCTCTGGTTCATAGTTGTTTGTTGATTTTGATATTTTCTTTCTTATAGTTATTACTTTTCCTGGTCCCTTATTTAAGTTTTCTAGATTCCTGCTATGAGTGAGACCATCCGGTATTTTTCTTTTTCTTTCTGGTTTATTTCGCTGAGCATGATCCCTTCCAGCTCCATCCATGTTGCTGCAAATTGCATGTGTTTATCTTTTTTGAATGCTGAGTAATATTCCGTGGTGTATATGTACCACATCTTCTTGATCCAGTCATCAATTTTTGGGCATTTGGGCTGTTTCCAAAGCTTAGCTATTGTAATCAATGCTGCTATAAACATAGGGGTGGAGGTGCTCTTTGGAATTGATGTTTCTGTGTCCTTTGGGTAAATACCTAGGAGTGGAATTCCTGGATCATATGGAAGCTCTATGTTTAGTAGGTCCAGAAATCTCCACACAGCTCTCCATAGTGGTTGGACCAGTTTGCACTCCCACCAACAGAGTGCACTCAAATTTTTAAAATAGTCTTTGAAGTACATTTTATATTTGAGAGAATATATTGATCACGACCTGGATTTAGACTGTGATTGTCATGTAAGAAGCAATACTGCTGTGACTACTGCTCA